GGGGTCGACATCGACACTTACTATGGGCCAATCATGAAAAACACAGAAATTCTAAATAAGCATTAGTTATGTACATAATAATATTAACTCAATAACAAGCAGGAAATAAATAATTCTTTCACTAATAATAAATCCCAAGTTAGTTTCTGTCATATGAAATTTTAACCTCTCAAGCCATAAAATAATATCAAATATAATTAAACTCCAACTATTTTCACGCACGATTAGCTTCTTTTATGATTAATGTTCCATAATAATTTCTGGCCAGCAAATCCAATGATCTGCAAACTGCAAGCTAAATTCTGTTCTAAAGATATGTTCTATATATTTACCTTCTTTGTCATGTTTTTCAGTTATTGGCATATCATTTGACTGTTCTACGTGGACACAATGTTGATCAACCTCGCAATCTTGCAAAGAGTGTGACAACCCAGTGAGCTGCAACGTTAATCTTCAGCTCACCTTGCGACAGTTGGGCAAGCAAGGTGGAACTCAACCATTTTTGAGTCTTCTGCAAATGTTAATGCCATTTGACGACAAGAATTTGATGGACATGGATCTGTGCACCTTTGGCATTTGCGTCGTTTTTCCACAGGTGATATTGACCCCAGTATATTTATTTCAACATGTGGCGTTGGTAACACATTTAAGCATTTAACCGAGCCGTGCTCTACTCTGTTTACTTAATGTTATTAACATTTGCTTCTGTATTCTACTGTTAAGAAGCAGTTATAGAATCGAGCTAATGTTGTAGATTAAGAACTTTTTAAGGGTAGACAAGGAGCATGTTGTAAAAAATCTCAGAATTCATCTGTTTAACTGTTATTTTGTTAATATTTTAATGTGGATACAATGAGAGCATTTGTATCCCAAGAGTTTATCTCGGCACAAGTGTCCTGTGATGTTCGCAATTTTACTTGTATGTTCGGATTTGGCTCAGAAACTACTTTAATACATTCTCTCTATTAATAAGGGGAATAAGCACACAGGAGGTCAACATGCCTGCTTGGCACTTCAAGGGCATTCTGGTAATTTCACATGAAATGGAGCAATTTAATTGGATAACAAATCACCTTACTGTAGCTACCGTAGAGATATTTGATTGCTAAAGACCGAATTGACCTTTGCTTCTCTCTCACCATTTAATTATCCCAAAGCTTCTTCTGGAGACGTGGGTCCCAACTAACTCTTATGTTTATCACTTTGCAAGTATACGAGTCATGGCCATGTGTGTTGTACAAATCTTTGAAGACATGGGGCCCATTTGATAGCCACGTCGCTAAAAAAGTAATTACAGTTTTTATATTAGCATTGTAATTTATATATACGTTGTTTTTGTCATACTACTACATTGATATTCCTATTTAATTATATGGCTATTTGTGTTACTAACTTTATTTTTAATTCGGCAAAGGGTCAAATATACCTCTATATTTTCGAAAATGATCTAAAAATACCCTTCGTTATACTATTGGGCTATATATACCCTTCCCGTCATACTTTGGAATAAATATACCCTTATTTTGGATGGAGTGTCACGTGTCAGCACCAGATGAAAACGACTCATTTCTTTTTTTTTTACCCGATCCATTTTAAAAAAATCCACCACCCGACCCGTTTCAAAATGCAGTTTTTTTAAAGTATATATTTTATAAAAACTAGAATTTTTTCTTGTAAAAACTGAAAAAAAAAAATTACAAAATATATATTTTTAAGTCTTTCAGTTTTTTTAAAATATTTTTTTGTAAAAACTGAAAAAATGCTTTAAAACTGAAAAATATATATTCTGTAAAAACTGGAAAAAAAAAAAAGAAATTTGCAAAATATATATTTTTAAGTCTTTTTAATTTTTTTAAAGTATTATTTTTGTAAAAACTGAAAAGAAAAAAAAAAGACTCTCCTAAAGCAGTGGACTACATATGCATTAGTTTTAAAAAAAATAAAAATATTTTACAAAATCATTTTTTTTACAGTTTTTAGAAAAATAATACTTTAAAAAACCTAAAAACTGAAAAATATATATTTTACAAATTTCTTTTTTTTTTTTTCAGTTTTTACAGAATATATATTTTTTCAGTTTTTAAAGCATTTTTAAAAAAATATTTTTTTTTTGTTTTTACAAAACAAAAATACTTTAAAAAAACTGAAAAGACTTAAAAATATATATTTTGCAAATTCTTTTTTTATCCAGTTTTTACAAAATATATGCTTTAAAAAACTGAATTTTAAAACGTGTCGGGTGGTGGGTTTTTTAAAACGGATCGGGTAAAAAAAAATGGTTGTTTTCATCTAGTGCTGACACGTGACACTCCATCCAAAATAAGGGTATATTTATTCCAAAGTATGACGGGAAGGGTATATATAGCCCAATAGTATAACGAGGGGTATTCTTAGACCATTTTCGAAAGTACAGGGATATATTTGGCCCTTTGTCGTTTTTAATTTACATAACATAAAAATATATAGTTTATTGTTGGCATTTGGACAAATATTTGACAAAGTTGAAAAATAAATTACTTAAAGGAAAAAAATATAATTGGAAGTTAAAGTTGTGTTTGCACATAAATTCTATTTGAAAACAAGAAATTGAGTAATTATTATTTCAATTGAAATAATCCTCAAAAAATGTTCAACATAACGGGTTGCCACCATCTCCATTGCACCCACTGAACTATGCAACAATGTTTTAACTTGCACCACCATTAATTACTGAAAATTGCTTGTTCAATTTTTTATCTGATTTTCTAAAATAATAATGTTTTTATACTGTTTTGTTTAGAAAACATATTTGTCATAAAAGATGGCAAACCGGATTATGCTCTTTCAATTTTTAAGAATGGAATATAAATTTGAAAATATTTAAGTTAAAAGGTAAATATACAATAAAGGTTATTAAAATTTTAAAAAATATTTTAATCTTGTATACCATTTAAAAGAAAGGTAGAGAATGTGTAACAAAATATCAAAGCAACTTGGTATCCTCTTTTGACCAGATATAATCAGATAGTAATCAAAGAATCCAAATTTCAAGTAAATCAAAAGCTAACTACTGGAGAGAGAAAACCCAAGGAAAATAAAAACAACACAAAATTCAAAATCCATCAAAAATCACAACTCAACCATTAAGAACACCAAAAAAGAAAGAATCCAAAAATCTAAATTTGAAGAAAATCAAAAGCTAACTAATGAGAAAACTAAATCCAACCCGCCCCCCTTAATAAACCTAACATCAAATAAAATCGCAAACTAACCATTTAACTCGGAAGGAAAGAACCGAGAAAGTCACATAACAAAAAAATCACAGTCTAACAAATTAAACTCAAAAAGAAAAGAAATCTACAATAGGTTATAACATGCAATTTCTCTATTTAGTGTTGCACACATATCAATTTTTTAACTTTTGCCTTTGCCTTGTAATTAATACGATGAATTGACACTATCTTTGAATTATGTGCTGCATGTGACATTTGTACTAATTAAGAAATGCATCATTTTCGCGGTCTTCTGGTATTTTTGATAAAGGAAATTAGCATTCACTATGCAATACTAGACCATGCAACGTCCCTATGATCAAAAATACATTTTATTTTAGCTAAATTAATTTGACAAAAGTAATTATGACTTTGAAAATCTAAGAAGGCAATAATTAGTATTTTTTCAAACTATCCTTGAACCAATAAATGATCTACAAAATAAGATGATATACAAAGATTAATTTAAAGAAGATATAAAGGATAACTTAGTTAAATAACGATTATATTAACGCTACTAAATGATTCTCTTAATGGGTGTGTCAAAAACTTAAAAGCACTTATTTTGAACGAGAGATAGCATCGTCTAAGAAACTATCTATAACTATTTTAATAACTTAATATTTTAAGAAAAATTTCACATATAAATTAAGAAGAAAATTTACACATACTAATTAGCACAACCTAAGCATATTATTATTGGGCCCATCCCTTACTAGTTATGAACACAGGTGTTTAATAAAGTCAAAGGAGATCACAGAAGCTACAAGAGAAGTGAGAGAGTGCTTTGCAGGAGAGAAGGTTATAATGTTGTGTTCTCAGTGTCATGTTCGAGCTCCTTGACCCTCGATTTGGATAAGCTTGAGGCTGATATGAGTTACTAATCTTGGACCTAGTGCTCGGTTTTCCATCCAATACCTATGTCTAATAGGTTTGATTGTTGAAGCAGTTCATGTCAAAATCCGGTGGCAAAATAGATAAAGAAAAATAGTTAATCATCCATATTTTCTACTAAAAAATGGGTTAGATATGAACTTTTTAAAAATAGGTTAAATATGGATAAGAACCATATTGTACACTTAAAAAATAAATAACTATTGTGTTTAACTTTTATATTTGTAAATACTCAAATTGAGGGTTCCTTAATTTTGGGAGACTAGGAATTATCCAAAAAATGATCATATTCAAGAAGTAATGGATAATATGAATTTAACCCATTTTCTACCCGTTAAATATGGGTCGGGTCCTCAAAAGAGATTTATATATACAAGTAAAATAGAGGGTGTTTGAATTGATTTTTAAAAAGTAGATTTTAAGGTAAAAGCCAAAAGTCATAAGTTGGTAATAGCCAACTTTTGTATTTTGGCTTATTTTTGTACTTTTCATGCGTAAAAGTAAGCGCTTTTAAGCACTTTTTAATCATTGTTAAACACCACACAAACGTGTTTAAAAGCCAATAAGCACTTAAAATAAGCCACTACAAACACCCTCGTAATCGTATACATGTTTTTTACACAAACAGTGCACTAACATAGAGATTATCTCTATTTTTCAAAATCAAAGATTAAAATGTGTCAAATTTCTAGTTTTTTTTTCTTTATCAAAACTCTAAATTTGTGCGTACAAACCAACCAAAAATAAGCTAGGTTCATGAAATTAGGTCCACATTTGAAGCAAACAATATGTCGTAGAAAATGATAAGATACAAGTAATAAGTGGATGGCAATGAACATATAAATATGTAATTGATTAGTATTGGGTGGGTGCATCTATTTCTATTGAATATGAATATGCTAAGCATGGCTTGTGTGGGGAGTAGTGTAAGCAGTAGCATCTGCGGAGTGGGAATAATTAATGCCAACAGATTCAGCACCAGAAGAAGGGGAGTGAGAATACAAGCAGAAAAGAGCATGGCCACAGAGATAGCGGGAGTGAAGGTTATTAAGAACCCTCCTGAATCTAAACTCACTGACCTCGGCGTCAGATCTTGGCCCAAGTATACTTCTTTTTCTCTTCTTTCTATGTTTTCATTTTGCTACTTACGTTTTACTTTTTCATTCATTCTCTCTCTATTTCTATAGTAGCCTTTAAACCCTAACATAAGAGTAACCCCTTTTTGCTGCCAACAAGGAGTGTGGTAGGATTTATGTAACTTCCCCCTTTAGTTAACTCTAATCCTGTGCGGTGTAAATCTGAATTAGTCGGACAAATGAATACTGGATAACCAATTTTTGTTAAGCGGAGCTACCTTTGCCCCTGCCAATTGGAGGGTGTACGGTTTGACACTCGCCGGGTAATGGGCCAGCTCCTCTTTACCCTTCTCCACTTAAATATCAAGCTTTTGTCCTCGATATAAAGAAACAAACACGCTAAAAACCCAAGAGTGTTCAACATATTACTATATATATACATAAAAAAAGTTTTAACCTATCTACACTAAGAATTTCGGCGAACTCCGCCCCTGCCTCAGCGATTTCTCGGTTATTCCAAATCAACTTAACAAGCTCTGATTAAATTCACTTTGAAAGTTAGTCAAATTCTCATGTTGGCATCATCACCACAGTGGTTATTTTTTTAGAAAGAAAAAAGCTATTTTGATGGTTATTGGTGCCATCCATGATTTCTACAACCTTAAAGCTGCAAATTTCTCCTTATCTTCACGCCAATAAACTCAAAGGAGCTTCCAATGCTTCTTATTCAAATAAACAACCGTTATCCAACATTTAGTTCCTCATCTTTTTTCAGAAACATTTTACCTGGCCGATGACTCCATGAAATGCACGCATCCATTTGACTTAATTTTCTCCTTCAATTAGATCCCCTGACATCCCTTTAGTCATCTTATGTTTTCTCCTTTTTCCCTTTTTGGGGAGTAGACTTTATTATCTTAATAAGTTTGTAAGTTTCTGCCATGTCTCCACTTTTAAGATCTCAAGGGTGGATGGACTGACACCTTAATCATCAACATGGCGGGGAGATAAACCGATAAAAGAAACATTATAAGTAGCGAATGTTTGTAGAAAAGAAAATTCAGGCTCTGGCAAGCATGCGTAGGCTCAAGGAAAGTAAGGTATGTTGAAAAGGAAAGTAAGTTGTACTAGCATTGTATCTGAATTTCAAGGTTACATCAAACCTTCCTTGGAAGTGAAACTTTTACCTAGAGCTACAAGGTACTTTACAATGCTTAGAAACAGATTGCACCATGTTAAAAAGGGGCCTTCACTAGCTGATTCACTCTGATGCACCATGTTTAAAGTGGTGGTGTATCTTCCGTTGCTCCTTCTATCCTGAAATTGTCTCCTAGTAGCACATCATTTCATCCAGAATCTTAATTAAGTTCTTCTGTGCTTAATCTGACTGTTGTTTTACATATTTGTTTACTCCCAACCCTATATTTTATTTGGGGGGTTCCTAATTAGAGACATTCTTGTGAAATAGGTGGGGCTGTCCTCCTAGCAAATTTCCATGGACATACTCTGCCAAAGAGACATGTTACTTGCTGAAGGGAAAAGTGAAGGTTTACCCTGACGGGTGTGATGAGGTGGTTGAGATAGGCGCAGGCGACTTGGTTGAGTTCCCCAAAGGAATGAGCTGCACTTGGGATGTTTCTGAACAAGTGGACAAGCATTATAACTTTGAGTAAATGTGTTGTAGTCTCCAGACCCTTCTTGTAACAAATTTATGCATCTAGTGCAGAATGTTTTAATTAGACAGGTTTCTGATGCATGCTGCGTAAGTGTATAAGGATTTTCACCAGATTAGGGTAATGCTATTGTCATTTATACATTTCGTGGTCATTGAGGTTTATCTACTAATTTGTTGTATGCTAGAGCTTTCCTATTATCTCACCACCTCTTTACTTTCATTTCTTTCCATATCTTGCACCTAGCACACACCAGTACGCATACGCTTAACACTAGCGCGAAGAGGAAAACCTCCCTCTCGAATGAGGGGAGGCCACTAGTGTAAGCCTCAGTCCTGATATCACTTCCATTATTTATGTCACGACCCAAAATCCCCACCAAATTGTGATGACACCTAATCCAACCGGTTAGGTAAGCCAAACAGCATAAGTTACTACTACAACGAGAAATCATCAATGTTATAAATAAAATTGCAAAAGAATCAATACAATTACCCCAATGACTGGTAGTACAATTATGAGCCACTACGATTCAGATTTACAAAGCTGGTAAAAGGAATAAATACAATATTTGTTTGAAGGTTACATAAACAAAAATGAGGTCCTAATCTACCATGAACAAATGGTAGCTCGAATCTGGGACGCAGGTACAACATCAATGTCTGTCGTAGTAATCCGCAACAGCTCAGCTCTAAGAATCTGCGCGCAAGGTGCATAAATGTAGTATGAGTACAACCGACCTCATGTACTCAGTAAGTATCTTGACTAACCTCACAGAAGTAGTAACGAGATTTTTAAGTCAAAAGACTCACTTGGCAGAACGTGTGCAGCTCAATAATATGTACAACACAGAGAAAAATATTCCACACAGACAGTTACGGATCAAAGAATATCAACAGTAAAGGTGCCCAACATGATTCGATTACGTACCAATTGCCAAATAACACTTTCAAGGGAACCTTTCAAACATCAAGTACATCAATGCATAATGACAATTTCCTTTTTTTTTTTTTTTTTGCATCAATCTGTTACACTACCAGCAAATCAACAAAACATAAGATATCAACTCAACACGGGTAATTCTGTCTTGGCAATCGAATCATCAAATAACAACATAGGCATAGATTAACATGTAACATGTCGCGTAAGAACGTGTAAAATGCACGACAAATCATAAAGAATTCACTTTCATAATCAAGATAACACTCAATTTTGACAACAAATCATCAAATAGAAACACAAACATATGACGTCACGTGCCACATTTCTGTCACAACAACAATATCCACCCTTATCGATTCGCCCTGATACAATCGCATAGCAAAGACCTCGTGCCATATCCAACCGCATTGCTTCGCCCTGACACAGTCGCACGGTAAAGACCTCATTCCAAATTCAATTGTATCGCTCCGCCCTGACACAATTGCACGACAAAGACCCCATGCCACAATATAAATCACACTTGCACGACAAAGACCTCGTGCCACAATATCATCACAATCAATCCGCTCAACATATTAACAAATGGTAGCTCGAATCTGGGATGCAACTACAACTTTAATGCCTGCCTTCGTCATCCACAATAGCTCAGCTACGAGAATCTTCATACAAGATGCAAAAGTGTAGTATGAGTAAAACTGACCATATGTACTCAAAAGGTATCTTAACTAACCTCACAGAAGTAGTGACGAGGGTTTTAAGTCAAAAGATACTCACCTTGCAGAACGTGTGCAACTCAATAACATGTACAACACAGAGAAAAATATTCCAGACAGACAGTTATAGATCAAAGAATATCAACAGTAAGGTGCCCAACATGATCCGATTCTGTACAAATTGCCAAATAACACTTTCAAGAGAACCTTTCAAAAATCAAGTACATCAATGCATGGAGACAATTCCTTTTTTTGAATTCGTTACGCTACTAACAACTCAACAAAACATGAGATATCAACTCAACACGGGTAATTCAATCTTGGCAATGAAATCGTCAAATAACAACAAAGGCATACATGTTAGATGCCACGTAAGAACATGTATAATGCATGACAAATCATAAAGAATTCTCTTTCAGAATCAAGATATCCGTTTTTCCAACAAATCATCAAATAGAAACACAAACATATCACGCCTCGTGCCATACTTTTATCACAATACAATATTCACCCTTATCACTCTGCCCTGACACAATCGCACGGCAAAGACCTCGTGCCATATCCAACCGTATCGCTCCGCCCTGACACAATCGCACGACAAAAATCTCGTGCCACAATATCATCGCAATCAATCTGCTCAACATGTCCACAAGTGTCATAATCATTACAATGCAAGATAACAAATTGTCATCAAGAGACATATCCTCATAACTCATCAATAAAGCGCACAAGGACATGATAATAATAAAAAGCGGATAAGGCATGATTACGACTAAATTAATTATAGAAATCAAGTTCAGGTAATCGTACAAAGGATTACATATGTATCACAGAGTACACACATCCCAACCGAGGCACAACATAAGAATAAGTACGAATATATGTTCATAACATACGTGTATCTACATCCGAGGTTATAAATCTCAAGATTTACTCATTATGATCGACATAAGGTACCAATAGCCTCAACATTTCTCTAGTATGGTTTATTGTGCTCACATAGTTGATTAATTGAATGATACATAGAATCAAGTAAAACACACAACCAAACAAGACATAAAGTAAGCTAAAATCTACCCCGAGCTTGAATACTCATGGCACATACCAAATCTCAAGATTTTCACATTATGGTCGACATAAGGTACCAATAGCCTCAACATTTCTCTAGCATGATTTATTGTGATCACGTAGTCGATTAATTGAATAATACATAAAATCAAGTAAATCACACAACCAAAAAAGGCATAAAGTAAGCTACAATCTACCCCCGAGCATGAATACCTATGGCATATGTATATATGTTCATCACCTCATATATACATCACACTCGCACGTAACAAATAATACCAATTATTAGGAAATATTTCCTCAACCAAAGCTAGGCAAGACACGTATTTCAAACAAGCCAAATCAATACTCTAAAAATTCCTTCCCGCACAAATCAACATCCGAACAGCTCGAATCTAACCAAAAACAACTCAATATCATCAAATAATGCCCATAGGAATCAAACCCAAATGATAAAGGTCGAATCTTTAATCAAATACTCAAAGTCAACCACAAAGTCAACCCAGACTCGCACCCTGAAACTTGACAAAACTCACAAATCTCCAAATATACAAGTTTCATCCAAATCCGACTCTGAATCGTTGTTCAAAATCCATTTATTCACTTTAGAAAAGTTTTGCCAAACTCCCCAATTTTCTCTTTTAGATTCACTACTGAAATACCAAAATCAAAGATGGAATCATGAATAATAATCTAATCCGAGTCAAGAATACTTACCCAGTCCAAGTGGGTGAAAATCGCCTCAATCCGAGCTTCCAATCTCAAAATGTGATAAAAAGACCAAACTCTTTGAATATAAGCTTCCGCCCAGCTAACTTCGCTTCTAAGATCCATCAGTCGCTTCTGCGATGCTGCATCTGCGAAAAAACCCTCATAGATGCGGAAATCACTTAAATCCCCAAGTTCCGCTTCTGCGGAACAAAACCACGCATATGCGGAGCCGCTTTTACGGACTCGCAGATACGCTACCTCTTCGCATCTACGAAAAATCCCAGGCTCAGCAAATCTCGTTTTTGTGAACATAAGACCGCTTCTAAGGCCTCGCAGGTGCGAAAACACTAGACTAGAACTGCCTTTAAACTTCAAAATGATCTGAAACTCACTCGTGCCCCTCGAGACCTCGTCTAATTATACCAACAAGTCCCAAAATACACACGGATCTACTCAAGACCTCAAATTACACAAAATAACATCAAAACTATGAATCGTCGATCAAGATCAATATCTTAAGTTCATATACTTCAAACTTTCCCGAACGTGTCCGAATCCTTCCAAATTAACTGGGAATGAAATCAAACTTCGCACACAAGTTTCAAATGGCAAAATGAAACTATTCCAACTTCTAAAACAATAATCTGAACCCAGTATCATCAAAATCAACTCCATATTAAACTTATGATCTTTCTAAACCTTCGAATTGCCAACATATCAAAATTATCATACTATGCTTGTAGTGTTTCGTGATATAGTGGTTGATAATTAACATTAACATCATGATATTCAAGTGTTTCATCTACGTGAGTGAAGTCATCAACATGAGTAGGAGTAATAGAGCTAGCATTACCCTTAGTTAATTTTTTAAACACGTTTTTACTAGTTTAGGAGCCATTTCTATTAATTAATAATTAAAATAAAAATAAATAGCAACACAAGTATAACAAAAATAAATGCGAAAATTAATAAGAGTTGGAACGAATGTACCAAACGCCGACATAAACGCCGACGTATAATTGATGTTGATGGAAAAAAATTGCTCCAACTAGTAGCGTAGTGCCAAGAAAAAGCGCCATCGAATACTTGATGTTGATGCTTGAAAAGTTATACCAAAATAATTGAGTGCTATAAACGTTAATTACAATTAGAGATAGAGAAACGAGAGCTTTTGAGTGAAAATTGAAAGAATGAAATTAGGTATTTATAGTTTTAAAATATGGCCAAAGTATATTTGAACAAACTTAGGAGTTAAAAATATAAATTAGGGGGTAGGGGGAAAATAGTCATTGGCTAACAGACAAAAACGGCCAAATTTAAAAAAACACATAAGGGTACCGGTACAGTACCTTAAGGGTACCAACCGGATCGGTACTAAGGGTATTTTTTTCGGTATCCTCCCATTACCCTTACCCTTTACCCAAATCCCTTACCCCTATCCCCAATCCGGATCGGTACGGACTGATACGGGTACGGGTAATGCCCTTCCCTTAGATAGCCCTACCCAAATCTTCTTTGTGTATCGTTGACCACGAGAATCATTTTACACATCAAACATTTTTAAAGTGTATCTAATACACACGTCTCTCGTGCTTGACACTTCTTTCTAAATATGCATATGTCATGCACCAATAAGATTATGACAGTGTCATTAATTTATTTTTTAAATGAAAACACTTAAAATTACAATTTTACCTTCGATTACCAAAAAATTCCAATTTCTCCACCTTCTTCATCTTCACAAAGCTGCCT